TTCTTAGAATTTTTTTCAGGCTTTACTATTTACTTCACTTTATTTATTTACTATGACCAAGAGATGTTTTAAAAACTTAGGGGCAATAATGAAAATCCTTTTTATGTTGTGCAGAATTCAATGAAGTAGGTAGGAAATTTGTATCTATGGAAATGTGAAAGAAAATGTATAAACCAACTCCACACCTAGCACTCAATCCTATACTTACTATTTAAAGCAACTCTAGTTTGCCTTTTCTCTTATGCAATATTTTGACAGGAAGAATTTTAATAGGGGGGGTCTTTTTTAATGGTTAGCCTTCAGAGTGTCTTTGAATAAAGGTCAAAATATGAAATTCCAGCATGTCCCAAATGCAAAATGGAAAGTTAATGTCATCTAGCAATCACAAAAATGATCTGCCATAGTATATTATTTTATAATAGTTACACATTTGTCTTTCTTTGCCAAATAGGTTTGGATCATGTCTAAGTGATCATTAAATTATTCATAGCTTCTAGTACAGGGCTTTGCACCTAGAGGTGTCAGTTAAATACCTAAATACCCCCTAAACATAGAAAATATGAAAAGCAAATGTATATATATATATATATATATATATATATATATATAGTCAGAAAGCTCTTATATTTGATTTTTTAATTAATAAATATTTTGTAAAGCTTCTTGAGATTTAACAGCATGTATCTTAGCTTAGCAAAATACATCATCGAAATAAAGTAATGGAGGCAAATTATGACAATATACACTCCTTAAATTAGTACAGTGAAGAGATTCAATTATTTTTGCTATGTATGATCTTCAGACAAATACTCATATGTAAGTGAGTAATCATGCTCTCGTTTGTTTCATGTAATGAGTTGGAAAAATATGGTCTAAAAAAACAGGGTTTAGAAAGATTTAAGCATAGCCTTCATTAAGCTCTCAACCAGTTCCAATTCTTTTCAATGTACCTTGGTTTCTCCAGCAAGAATTAAGTTATTAATCATCATTCTTAATAATAAGAAACAAAGATTAAGTATGAGCAAGTGTGAAATGATAAGGAACACATCTGGAGTAGATTCTTCTCCTTCTCCCCTACTTGCATAGAGTATATCTTAAGGAAGTGAAAACCAAGAGCAGAAACATAATTTTACTGGTTCTGAACCTTTGAAAGGGAGTTCAAATATGCCTTTTTATGTTTTTACCCTATTTCTTATGGAGGAATATTTTTGTTTTATGAGTATCATATGAATATACTGCAAATACATGCAGATCCAACTCTTAACATGAGTTATGATTTCATATACAATAAACCTCAGTTAGGATTCAATGTATTCTAATATTTTTAAATTGCATATTCTTAAAGAAAAAGAATATTTATCCTAGGAATAATCCTATGACAAACCCTCCACTTTTTCTTTTATTAGTATCCAATGTAAAAGTATTTTAAAATTTAATATTGTTCAAACCACCTAACAAGGGAAATATTTCTAATTTTGAAAAGTAAAACAAAAATATCTGCATTTATTTTTAAAAGAGTCATTAGAATTATTTTTCACTTTGAGTTAACACAGCAGTAATAAATATTAATAAGTTTATTTTTGGTAAGTAAAGATTTTCAAGACCACAAATGAAGGTAAAATGATCAGCAGGGCTGAAATGAAAGAAAAAAAGAAAAGAAAAGATCAACCAAAAGTATTTGTTGGATATGTGTTCCAGGCACTCAGAATAATGAAATGAAGGACTGATTGTCCCTGTCTTCAAGGAACTTTCTGTCCCTAAGTAGAGCTATGCCCCCATGAAAACATAACACAACATTTGGAAAAGAGGCATCCTAGACAGAATTCAAGGGAGGTAGGACTTGACTGGGTTTTGAAGGGTAGACAAAGATCACTGGGCAAAGAGAACTATCAAAGCATTCTACACTGAATGGGCTGTGTGAGCAAAGGAGTAGAGAAAGGGACAAGCCCTATTCAGAGGACAAACAAGTAAATTGGTGTTACTAAAGAATTCATGCAAGGGGCATGAGATCAGGAAGACTCCTAAAGGCTGGTAATCTAACAGCACCAACACATAAAATGTTGGACAATGGACCTTTGACTTCATCCTCTCAATCAGGGTCATTTTTCTTTTTAATAGGGTTGGCTCCAGGAAGGATTAGCAATCAACCTTTAATTTCATGCAACCATTGTATAAATGAACTTTCGTTGGAAAAGGTGTCAAAGAATTTGCAGTTCCTAATTTGAACAAGTAGGTGATTGGTATTTTCTTTTACAACTTCTCTTAAGTGATATAAGGAGTCAAATTTGCAAGAACATATTCAGTTCTATTTTAGACATGCAAATATCTGAGGTGGCAGTGAGATATTCAAGGAATGACGTCCTGCAAGTGTTTGGAGATGAGGGTAAAGTCCAGAACAAGACTAGAGCATTCATTGTAGGGAGGGAAGAACTGAATCTCCTGGAAGAGGATAAGCAGATAAGATGAAGTCATACCTTTCTCCAATACTGCGATGGTCTTGGTTAGGAATATATTTCTCAATCTTCTGATAAACGATGCATGTTTTGATAGCTATAGCCTCATACAGATGTCTGTATGCTACTATCACCATTGACAGGAATCAGAAATTTCCCTAATCACGCTAAAGAGTTTTCCAAGTGATTTTGGTGCAAGATTCCTCATAATGATATCTACTTAATCATTAGGAAAAACATACATCATTAAATTACTGTGGCTATTTCATCAGAAGCAACACTATAACTGTGTTTCAGATTCCCCATGGCATGGGGAAAGCCCACCCCAGCACTGTGTTGTCTGCACTGTTTCTATCCTCCTCCCACTGCTCCCTCCTCCTGTGGTCCAATCAATGGCTTCAGTTGGGGCCAGTGAGCCAGGGTCTGAGTCAGCGGTTCTCAACCTGTGGGACGCCAACCTGTGGGTCGAGACCTCTTTGGGGGGTCGAACAACCCTTTCACAGGGGTTACCTAAGACCATCAGAAAACACATATATAATTACATATTGGTTTTGTGATTAATCACTATGCTTTAATTATGTTCAATTTGTAACAATGAAAATATATCCTGCATATCATATATTTACGTTATGATTCATAACAGTAGCAAAATTAGTTATGAAGTAGCAACGAAAATAATTTTATGGTTGGGGGTCACCACAACATGAGGAACTGTATTAAAGGGTCGCAGCATTAGGAAGGTTGAGAACCACTGGTCTAAGTGTTGCAGAGACCAGTGCAACAATAGATACTTACATGGAGACAAGCTCAGATAGAATTCCATGTAGCTTTCCAAGGAATACTTTAAACCAAGAGGAATCAAAGGATCAAATGGGCCATCCAGTCTCATACATACAAGTTGTCAATTTCCACCCTACCCTTAGGTTTATGTTTGAACCAACTTAATTTCTAAATAAGGTAAAGCTTTATTTAGTAATTCAAGATAATTCAAGCCTCCAGATGTTTTTCTCAGAGATAATTTGATGATTTCTTCTTCTCTCTTATATTTCTAAATAGAAGAGTGTAAGTCATTTTGTGAATATTCCTTTTGATTTAAAGTCTTCCTTTTCAGATTCTAAGGAGAACTGCCATGTCTAAAAGGGAAATTTTATTAGACATCAGTTTTGTTTTGAAGTTCAGTGGAGGCTGATTTCTAAGAAATTCAAGCATTGGAAAAATCATTGTGATAACTGGTACTAAGCACACTATTTTCAGTGTTCTAAATACTGGACTGGTTCCCACAGAATGGATTTTATTGCTGTAATTACAAAGTAATGATAATTACATATAAACGTGTTGTTGAACCAAGAGTATGAATTACAACCGTGGTGTCCAAACACAACAGCAGGCCTGACACACACAGTCAACAGATACTCAAAGAAACTCCGGTTCCTCTCCAAAAAAGGGAGGGGCTAATCGAAGCATGATCACCTATATCAAACCAGGTTTAACTTACCACAGGCATGAACAACCATATGTATAACACTAATGTGGTACAGATCGTGTGTTTTTTTTTGTTTGTTTTTTATCAAGATTAAAAACAAACCAAAAAAATAGCTTTTTAACACTTAAGTGCACACGTCATCTATCCCCCACTATTCCCTCTCAGGAGCCCTTAGCTCCACCACCTTCTCATTACCCAAAAACACATTTTGCACATTCCTTCTTTCATTTTGACTAAATGTTACCAGTCCTTACAAGCTCCAACGAAGCACCTGCTCATCCTTTCCTCTGCCAGAGCAGAGCAGAGAGCTCTCTAGTCTAAGTTCATGTTGCATTTAGCCCTTGCTGCCTGTATTGTCCATTTAAATGCACCATCTTCCTTGATAACCTTTTGCTTTTTAAAAGGGCAGGGCCCATTCCTCCTGCTTCTTCAGTCACCCTACTACACCTAGCACAGAGCCTCATGTCTTTGTAGATACTTAATGAATATTTGCTGACTGCCTACAATGGAAGCATTCATCTTAGTGTGGTTCATTTGCTTACAATGGAGAGTCGGTGCATCAGTCAGGGTTCTGGCAAGAAGCAATGACACCCTCCAACTGAGTAATTCAAGAGAATTTAATGAGGGCCTATTTACAAACGTATGGCCAGGGTTTGTGGTAACCAAGAAGGGACAGTGCAGTACGTCAGGTCTAGTAACAAGAACTGACCATGTACCCTGAATGGAAAAGGAGAGAGAGCAGTTACCAGGATCCTGGAGAGGGTTCTATGACCTGATATACACAGCCAACCTGGCAGGGAGGGAACCAAGATACGGATTACTCTAATCATTCTCTCATTTTGCCTTATGTTCTCCCTCCGTGCACCTCCCACTGGCTGAACAGTTTGGAAGCCAGGCACCAGGGTACCTGTTAATGCATTTCAGGAGGGTCACCACCTTCCCGGACCTATGGTGAGGAGAAGGGTAAGTAAAGAGTGGATCTGGAAGGACAGTAGAGGGTACCCAGCTAAGACAGTGGGAACAGCAGGTAAACTGCAGACACCAGATTCAGACAGCTTGCACACCATCTCATATCCCCACCACTGGAACAGCACATCACTGGAGCTTTCTGGTATTGATATCCTCATCTGATAAAGATAATAAGAATATCTATCTTTAAAAAGCACCATTGACAGAAGTAATTTGATTATATATATAAAAATACTTATCACAGTGCCTAGTACAAAGCACTAAACAAAAGTTATCAATCACAGTAATATTTATTTTCATCCTTATTAAAATCAAACTTTCCTAGAAATTCTGTTCTGGAAATCCTGGTCTTCAACCAACCAGAACACTTAGAATATCTGATTTTTATGTTCTTCCCCACCTTCTGCTAGAAATGTCTATATGAATCAGATGAATTTTAAGACTGTATTTGGAATGTTTTCCTCCAAACTCCACCCCACATAGAAAACATTTTTGCTGTTCAGTTTCCCCAATCTCAGGACCCTGAGGCTTGGTCTCTGTCTGTCCTCTGCCCACTCTAGTTGGAGTTCCCAGAGTACTGTTGGCACCAATTTGTCAGAGACAATTTACAGATCATAGAGCCAGCCTCAGAAGAGTTAAAAAGACACTTGCCCAAGGACATCTTGTTGATGAGCACCAAAGTCAGCTGTCAATGGAGAACACATACTACACACAAGGTGTAATTAATGCATTGTCATTTGAAGGCCAAAAAATTATCTTAGCAGGGCTTCTAATAGCATAACAATAGAGTAATGAAATGGCTTAATGCTACATTCAACATGTCTATTTTCTTTTTTAAAAAATATCTATTTTTTATTGATTTCAGAGAGGAAAAGAGAGGGAGAGAGAGATAGAAACATCAATGATGAGAGAGAATCATGGATCAGCTGCCTCCTGCACGACCCCTAATGGGGATCAAGCCTGCAACCCGGGCATGTGCCCTTGACCAGAATTGAACCTGGGAACCTTCAGTCCACAGGCTGACACTCTATCCACTGAGCCAAACCACTAGGGCTCAACATGTCTATTTTCATTAGAACTGTGTAAAATCTTATTACTACAGTCTTGAATGGTCACACAAATACCATTTCCAAAGTCCAGTTTGCTCTAGATAACAAAATTACACTTAGCTAAAGCCAGTTTAAATATATATATACATGTAGCAAGCAGCAATACTCAACGTGTGAAAATCAATTCACTACATTGCAGTGCTAGATCGCAGCTCTCCAGTTTTTCATCTGCACCTGACCACATTCACTCAGAGGACCCAATTGGCATGCCTAATCACCGTTCCATAAAGCAGTAGATGATATCTATGAAATCATCTTCAGAAACGTACAGGGTTGCTAAGCAATCTTTAATGATGTGCTGGGAGATAGCAAACTTCTACCTTTATACGTGCCTGTCATGCAGCAGGCTCCTAACTCTGAAACCCGGTTACCACATCTTCAGTAAAGTATACATGTCACAATCAATTCTATAGAAACTGAGAAACCATTGCTTGTAAATTTCCAATTTTTTTTTATGAGCAAATGCACAGCTTGATTGCTGAGGGTGATGTTCATTTTTAAAATCCAGTCCCGGGTTTATTCCTTAGCATAGGATACAGACACATGTACAGCGTAGACATAGGTTAGCAGGAATAACGCCAGGAAAGCAGTTTTACTCTGCCTCCCTCGCTCACACCCGCCACCTCTACTGCCAGGGTCTTCCAGGACCTCACATCTCTTCTGCATCCCTCTCCTGTGCCTGCCCCACTGCAGTAAAATCTTCATTCTCCTTTTCAAAATCTAAGGAACCTTATAAAGTAGAGGCTTGAACTGTTTTGAAGCTCAAAGGAAATATTAAACCTCCAACAAATGAGCAATGTGCATGGTGGGGGGACTGGGTGACAGGGGAGAAACTGAGCAATTTGGTAAAGGTTTCATAAATGGTTGCAACCTCATAGAAGGCTATTCAGGAATGTAAATCAAGAGTAGTAAAATATTAATAGTTTTAACCTCATTGTTTTACTTCTGGGTTTTGTTTTGTTTTTTAATATATTTTATTGATTTTTCTACAGAGAGGAAGGGAGAGGGTAGAGAGTTAGAAACATCGATGGGAGAGAAACATCGATCAGCTGCCTCCTGCACACCCCCTACTGGGTATGTGCCCGCAACCAAGGTACATGCCCTTGACCAGAATCGAACCTGGGACCCTTCAGTCCGCAGGCCGATGCTCTATCCACTGAGCCAAATTGGTTAGAGCTACTTCTGGGGTTTTAATCTAAAGAAATAATCCAAAATATGAAAAGACTATATGCACAAAAATGCTCACCCTAAGTGTTTATAATAGTAATATATTAGAAATTGATAAATGCCTAATAATAGAGGAACATAAAGGAAATAGATAGGTTATGCACATATCTCAGATGGTATACATTTTTTAAACTGATGGTTATATCACATCTAGAGGTATATTAAATATGGGAGGAAATATAATGAACTGTTAACAGTGGAACAGGAGTACAATAGAGACTTTGTAAAAATTCAAAACAAGTATATCTTTAAAATTTATTACATTTTTACCATAAGAACAGACAAACTTATAAAATTTTTCTTTCAGTGTTCATTATAAATCCTATAAAACATAAATCTTGAGTTTATTGGTCATGTGGATATAAACAACTAAAATGTACTCTAGGCCCTGGATGGTTTGCTCGGTCGTTAGAGCATCGGCCCACAAACTTGGGTTCCATTTCTGGTCAAGAGTACGTAGCCAGGTTGCAGGTTCCTTAGCCCTGGTAGGGGTGAGTACAGGAGGCAACCAATTGATGTGTCTCTCTCACATGGATGTTTCTCTCTCTAGCTCTCTCTCTTTCCCCCTCCTCTCTCCTTTCCACTCTACCAATGGAAAAGATATGCTTGGGTGAGGGTTTTAAAAAAGTGTATTCTACAACAACTGTATATAAAAATAAATGGTGATGGGACCACAAGAAAAAAAAGACATAAGTAATGATGAGTATGAAAGAATAATACAATTATCTATTTCCTTTATTTTCCAAAGGTTTGTAATATGATTCTTTTATTTCACACTAGAAATAATTAAGAATAGCAACAATTTTTAACTCCTTATAGAGATGTAACTTTTGGTAAATTTCAAATGAGTGTTATGAAACTCTATATGGAAATATTGTAATGGTGTTTTACTAGTAGAAGCCCAGGCTACAAGGAGAAGGCCACTGCCAATAACATAGGTTGGCTATAAATGCTGGTAGAGCCAGAATGTGTTTGAAAAACAATAAGGTGTAAGTTTTGGTAATTATCATTGACCCATGATAAGAAATTAGAAAGAAAGCTAACCACAAGGAATCTAGGCTAGAATGAAGCAAGGCTACGAAACCAGAGGAAAGGACAAATTTGGGGCCTGTGAGAGCACAGGTTGGCGGGAGGGAACAGAACAGGGCTCCTGAAGGCAGGGCCAAGGAAGCACCTGTACAGCTAGGAAGGCGTGCTGGCCACTTTCCATGAGATCTCACGTGGATAAACAGCCCCAAGATAGAGGGGGAAACCGGTCCGAGTATATTAAAATAATTTTAAAAAAAATACCAACTGAATCTTTAGAGTCTTGGCTAAGAAAGCCTATGAGCCAAATATTGATAACAAGCCTAGCAACGCCCAGCACGTAACAGTGTGTCCAGCTCACTTACTTGACCTGTACTTGCCATTTGTTTCCATGTTATGAGGTCAGAACTCTGAAGTTAGATCTCACCAAACGAAAAGATTAGTTAGCTCTACCCACAAAGATACACTTCTGGCATCTACCGTATCCATGACACTGAACAAAAGAAATGAAGCATTACCAAAAAGAAACAGGCTTTTCTGTAAAGTCCCTTTTACTTTAATTCTCCCTTCTATATCAGTTTATATTATAAATCAATTAAAACAAAAATATGTAGTATTTAAGCCAAACAAATATTTAAGCCATTGAGTATTCTCCTCAAGAGAAATCCACAAACATATAAATCAAACTACAAGGAAGTTCAGTTAAAGAAGATAATTATGAAGGCTATCCCAGCAACCTAACAAAAAAAAAAACACAAAAAAATACCCTGTAAGAATAAACAAAACCTGACAAAAAAGCTAATCAAAAGTCCAGTGGTTCAAAAACACATTATTTTTTAATAAGATGGGGAAATTATTTCTATTATGATACATTAATAATTTACACAGTATTTTCACATGTATTATCTTCCATAAAAGACTTGGGATGTAGATTACCACTACCCCAATTTTACAAGACTGTAAAGAGGTGACGGGTACATTGGCAGAGCCAGACCTCTCCTATCCCTCATAGCCCTGCTATCACTCTCTTACGTAACCTGTCTTTAACACCTCCCTGTAGGGATGTGGCACATGGAACTCCGCCCAGTGAGGAACCTGCCCCTCACTGAGACTGAACTTGAAATTCCTTCTCAACATACGTAGCCTCAGGACCTGTGAGCCAGGCCTCTATCTCTTTTAGGGACAAACAGATAACACTTCCAAACAAATTATGTTAATTCTTTAGGAAGCAAGATATGTTAGAGAAAAGAGATGCAAATATAAAATCAAGTTAAAAAAAACATATCATTCTAAATTTTGGTTGAAAACATCAGCATAAACTCTAGAGGTACATTTGTTTCTAAAAAGCTCTATCCATTGGGAAAAAACCTACACACGGTGACCAACCCAGTAACAATGATTGCTCCTGGCACCTACATCATGGTTCGCCAAGTTCCATCTCACATGGAAAGCACCCAGAGCTCCATGGATAACAGTGAGCCTGGCCTGGGGTAGGGAAAGTACGTGAGCCTGGGAGATGTTGTCACAGCACAAAGCAAGGAAGCCTTCACAGACTATCAACTGCAGAGGCTCCCACTGGCTAAGCGATGAGGAAACTTAAGCACGGAGAATAGTGATAGGTTTATTACCCATATGTTCATAATAACATATTTTATAAGGTACCAAGACACTTCTGAGGATTCTAGGGAACCAACCCATTTTCTGAAAGCTAGCAGAAAAGCAAAAGTATCAAGTCTTCTATCTGTCCCTCAGATAGATGAAAATATCTCTCCTTAGTATTATTCCAACTAATA